GCAGGGGCCCGAAGGTCGGTCCTTGGTCCTTGGCCTTGGCATCGGGAGTCAAGTCCTTGGCCTTGGCCTTGGCCTCGGGTTGTCGGTCCTCGGACACAACGAAGGATTAGAGCCTCTAATTCCTCGTCCACAAGTATAAAGTTGGTCCGAGGACCGCAAAAATCACGAAGAAATCAAATAAATCCCATCCAGGGAAACCCATATTGATGGACTTACCTTGTGCTTAAAGAGGGGCGGGTCTGCCACTGACAGGTGACAGTTAGCGCAACGTATAAAGAGCGGCATCACCGTTAGTTTCAATCACGGTTCGTTCCGTTCGCGATCGGCAGTTTAAATAGCGTGTCAAGTCGTTCTGTAACAGTGGTGTCTTTTATTTAGTTATTTTTGCACAGTCGTCACGTTTGTGCGGTGGCACTCGAATGTTTGTTTGAACCAAGTAATTTGCGTTACAGCTGGAGTCAATAATGCCGGCACTTCACTTCGCCTATGCTAATCTGAGATAGCACTTCAGACAGTAAGAGTTGAATATGGCTTGAAAAATATGCTGGATCTTGACCTATCTTAGCGTCCAGGTCTTCGGCAGAGCAACGTGTGGAGGTGCAGGAATATGTAAATTTGGAAGCCCACAAAATACTGACTTGGTCTAAGATTTCACTATTTGTATATCGATCAATACATCCATCGCGGGCATGCTGGAGCCTATCCCAGCCATTTTCGGCCAGTAGGCGCGGTACACCTTGAACAGGTCACAGCAGTGTTTGTATACCAGGGATAAAGTCACTTTTCGATAACATGTTCTTTGGAAAATTGTGAAAATGTATGAATTCACTTGAAGTTATTTCCAAAAGGAAAAACTTCTCCCATTGAATTTTTTCCCCCTTTTCATATGAATTTCATTGTGATCCTCTTGATTAGTGAAAATATTGGACAGATGAGTGAGTAAGGACAACTTCGTACTCACATGTGGGTTAAGTATTTGAGAGGCTCGAACATTCGTCGTTGGATGTTGGTAATTTCGATGCCCTCGATGCTCCTAGAGCAAAGAAAGACACATGGGGAACATGACTTGGAGACACACAACGGGACGCAAACACGAATATTAACGGGGAAGTGGAATCAAGCAAGATTAAAGTGAATTAAATATATACAATGCACATCTAAATTATATATTTTATTCATAAATATTGTTAATTGTCATTTCTCACACATTTAATTTGGATAAGAGGTAACATTAAAATATGCAATAAAACTACCGAATAAATATATGTAATACTAATATTAAACCATTTAATGACAATGGATTCAATACCATTAAATTAAAAAAAAAAACAGTATAATATTGTACACAGTATATTGTACATTGAACAGTAAATCTAAAATAAATTAGATACTTTGTCAAATCATGAAAGGGGGTGCATGCACTAATAGAAATAGGACCACAGCTACCTCAGCTGTGTGTGCGTGTGTGTGTGTGTGTGTGTGTGTGTGTGTGTGTGTGTGCGTGTGTGTGTGTGTGTGTGTGTGTGCGCGCTAGTTAGAAAAAGCACAGCACTTATACTCACAATGACTTAAGTTTATGGAGCTTGTCAAAATGGTCCACCTGCAGTTCTCTAATGGGATTGTATGAAATATTTCTGTAAAAATAAAAAAGTCCAGATCGAGCAAATGGTGCTTCTTTTCCATGCTTCTTTATAATATGCATTTGAAATTTCATATAGATCAGTTATCAGTGTTGTGGTCCTCGAGCCGGCCAAGGACCGGCTCGAGGACCGAAGGTCGGTCCTTGGTCCTTGGCCTTGGCATCGGGAGTCAAGTCCTTGGCCTTGGCCTTGGCCTCGGGTTGTCGGTCCTCGGACACAACGAAGGATTAGAGCCTCTAATTCCTCGTCCACAAGTATAAAGTTGGTCCGAGGACCGCAAAAATCACGAAGAAATCAAATAAATCCCATCCAGGGAAACCCATATTGATGGACTTACCTTGTGCTTAAAGAGGGGCGGGTCTGCCACTGACAGGTGACAGTTAGCGCAACGTATAAAGAGCGGCATCACCGTTAGTTTCAATCACGGTTCGTTCCGTTCGCGATCGGCAGTTTAAATAGCGTGTAAAGTCTTTCTGTAACAGTGGTGTTTTAAATAGCGTGTCAAGTCGTTCTGTAACAGTGGTGTCTTTTATTTAGTTATTTTTGCACAGTCGTCACGTTTGTGCGGTGGCACTCGAATGTTTGTTTGAACCAAGTAATTTGCGTTACAGCTGGAGTCAATAATGCCGGCACTTCACTTCCGGGTTTGGCCGTTGGGATTTGGAGTTCTTTTCCTCGATTCCAGTTATGTTTGCTGAATGCTTTCTCATGTTTGGAATAATGAATATTGATAATACATAGTTTAAAATCATGGTTGATTTAATTATTTTTTATTATTATTGTGAAGTGGAAGGTATTAAATTAATTAATGTAGTATTAGTGGTAGTGGTAATAATAGTACTACTCAGAGAATGTTTCGAGATCAGCCATCTCGTTACCTCCGCGTCCCGCATCCTAGACGCATAATTTTCTCACGGGACGCACAGTTCCAAACAATGTGCGTTTTTGGGACGCAAGGAAATTTCTCAGTCAAAACAAA